TAAAGTAATTATATAATATATTTCTAAATATATAAAATTCGTTGTTGTATAACATAGTGGAGTCGTTATATCTAAAAATAAACAGATAAATTCGCTTCTTTATGCTAAATAAAAAGGACTTTAAGTACTCAGCGAACAGTAGAATTAAAAAAAAAACTGGCGTAACTGTAACGACTTAATTTGCCAAACAAGACTATGTTAACGTTAAGTTTTTTTTTTTTAATTTTTACTAATTCTGCTAGGTAATATCCTCCTCTTTTAAACTCACCCCACATTCGATTGTATTCCCGACTCCATCTGCCCGTGCAATACAAAATAAACTAAATTTTATTATATCTTATTACTTTATTCAAGTCTTACAATTAGATGTTTTGTAAAACTATTTGATTAATTCTACCACAACATTCACATTGTCTGCATTAAATGGAAATCATATATAATTACTAAATAAATCTAGATTAATTACTTCGATTGTAACATATGTATTTACACAGGGTGGCCCATTAGAAAGGATAAGTGGGATTTTAAACCACTTACCATGATTTTTGTACAAAAATCTCAGACACGATGATTTTGGTTCTAAGGGAGACATCTAAATTCAATTGACACTTAAAAAGTCACTTGAAGGCGCATTTCCTCGGAGGCTGGTAATTAAAAGACCTTTCAAATGGTGTGTAGTTTGACCTGACGTTCCATTTACAAATTCAAGGATGTTATCCTTTTTCGATTTTAGATTGCATTTACTGTTTTCAATGGGTCACCCTACATATATTTGATTATTGTAACTTCCATTTACATAGTTTCATCGAGTATTTTGATCGTGTTTTATAAAGAAAAGACATTGCATTATTATAGTCCGAATCTTCTCGCCCGTCCAATAATATACAAAATATAGATGAAAATGTTGATTATGTCAATATACAAATTAAGAGCCGCAAACACGTATTCTTCAGGCGATGTCGCATACCTGTGTTTCCCTCCTATCATCAACTGGGTATCGTAAACCAGATAGAAGGAGAAAATCAATGCCCCAAGGGACGCGTAAACAAGCGAAAAGATTGTATTATAAAGGAATATAGCAGCAATGCCAAACGCCAATAGAACTATGCTAGCTACCAATAAAATACCACCTAATATGGTGAAGTCCCATTTGGTTTGAAATGCGAACAGGGTAAGTCCCAAACAAACTGCTAGAGTTATACCTGCCGCTAGAAGAACTTCTTGGACTTCGAAATACGCTGCGAGACAGGCCACCATGAAACTTTCCGCCAATGTGAACAGAAGAAGCAGTATGTAATTAACTGGAGATTTTCTGCGAACATCTCCGCAACATCCCAATATTACCACCGAAACCAAAACTACTGCCAATGAAATATAGATCGTTAACGAATGATCGTTCACCCAGAGTCTTGTGGGTTCGTGGAATAGGAACCAGGCTATGCAACCCATCGTTATACATAGCTGTACCATGAGAATCGAATATACTTTTTTAATGAAACCCTTTCTTATGGTCTGATCCGAGAAATCGAAGCCCTTGACTTCCTGGTTTTCACAATCCACTTCATTCCGCATTGCCACAAATTGTTATTTCTTACTTGTCTAGAACAAAAGAAAATCTCCAGTTGGGTTAAAAACGTTAAAGTAAAAATCTCAAACGGGCAGCTGTGACGGTTATTTTATACATATTATGTCAATAACAAAATGTTTGAACACCGATATATGACTAAATAAAATACAAGGCTTCCTCGAGTTTGTATGAGAGTGATAGGTAGATAAGATAAACGAAATCAAATTAGTAAATATACCAAGAAATTTCAATATATCCACTAACTATTCGCAAAACTCAACAAAATAATGTTAAAATTAAATCGGTACAATTTTCTACATTCACTTAAGTATAAAATATTTTTTAAGAAAACCTTTCAGGCATATTCTAATTTTTTAAATATTAGAGTTTTTCTAGACTAATAGTGGTGTTTGCATTACAACACCAGCTGCGAAGATTGAGTATGATTCATATTTTTCTGTTTGAAGTGATTGAGATATAGTTTTTCTATCTTTATGTTATAGTTTCTTCAGTTCNAATATATTTAGTATCAGCATTGCACCCGTGCGAAGCTGGGGCGGGTCACTAGTACTCTATATGATAAAGATACAGCTGCATCTACGTTTCCGTACGATTATTTTTTCGTCATACAAAAATAAAAAACAAAGAAAAATTCGTTTCAAGAAAACGTTTATTAAAAAAAGTAATTCTTTTAAACATATAAAAATACAATTGTTAAACTCAAAGGTAACATACACTTAATTTTATAACAATAATGACACTTGTTTTATTTTACAATCTACGTATCACAAATCACAATATTAAATATTTAAAAAAAAAATGATGTCTTTATTTATTCGAAAAGTTCAGGATAAACTTTACACCCGGTATAAGAATCATTTTGAATACAAAATTTGATCACTTCTCTCCAATAATAATCTGTAGCAACAGTGTAGGGGTTCCCAATTACAATAATCAATGCTTGAGCTCTTGTTAATGCCACATTCATTCTTTTTGGATTAGAAAGGAAACCAATACCGTACTTTAAATCGTTAGAAACGAGATTTTCATTGGAACGCACCAAAGACAAAATTATAATGGGGAATTCTCGTCCTTGAAATTCCTCCACACTTCCTATTTTAGGCCGCTCAAATTCTGCATCATCTAAAAGTGAACGAATCTGCCTGACCTGCAAAAAGGAATAAATACGGTTTTTATGGAGAATTTCTTTTATTAGTGATATATTCCTGCATTACGGTAAATGTGAATGTAGAAGATTAGATAGTAAAAAAGCATTTATTTGAAATAAGTATTTTGAAAATAGTATTTTGCAGTTAGCGTTTAAAATACAAAAGGGAAATTTATTTCGTGTTTTAAATTTGAAATAAAGCAAAAAAGTATTTGTATTTAAATACTTTTAAAAAAACCATTTCGCACATCTCTAGTCACAACAATATTTGTAGCTTTTCTGAGACATTATAAGCATTTTTTTATGTTTTACTTAGTTTTTATGTATCAACTGACTCGTCGCATTAATAGTATAGAAAAACTGTTTTAACAGAAGATCACTTATTGAAAATTGTATTTTATCGGCGGAGTCTTGTTCTGTTTACCAACTTTGCTTGTTTCTCAAAATTATGTTTTTGGTGGGAATGTTATTTAAATAATTTAAAAATATATGTGATCATTTATTTTAAGCATCAATAACAAAACTAAAATATAAAGCGTACTTGACCTTCTTACAGCAGATAAGACATGCTTACAGGAAATTCAAATAAACTTTCAAATCTACTTATCTATTAAGATTTAGAAAACGTAATTAAACTTATATCGTAATAATCAAAATTGATTACGTTCGAACAGAAAGTCCCCTGTTTTTGTAAATCCACTTGAAAATATTGTTTTTATTGAGAAAATAAGCATACCAAAGCAGTAAAATTTTTTACAATATTTTAATAGTAAAGTCACTAATTTGCAGAGTTGTGATTTATTTGAAATACTTGCATTTAAAATACAAATACAAAATAAAAAATACCTATTTTTATCTTGCATTTAAATACTTTTTCGATAAAAGCATTGTGTATTCTTCCAAAGCATTTTCCATTTGTAAAATGCAAAATACTTTTGATGATGAATGATGAATGAAACATTCCATGAATGCCTCCTAATCCTTTAACTAAATAGAGCCCTAAAAATTCTAAACTAAATTTATTGGAAATGGATAATCTAAATATTGGATGGATATTGTTTTCCGGGTTCAATGTCATGGTCCATGGAATTTTAAAGTTCCTAATTGATATCAGCACCTGCCAAATCACCACTTATTGTACCTTTAGCAAGAAACGACGAAATTTAATAAATTACGACAAAACAGCCCGCAAAACAATATCGAATTGATATACGCCAACTGTGTAAAACTACAAACTACAAAATATTGTGATGTGCTAATAAATGCCTATAATCCAAAATTCTAAGAAAACTATTCGAAAAACTTCACTTGTTAGATGATCCCAAAGCTAAAGAAACTATGGATTTCCATGTTACAATGTGTAAAAGATCGGAAACAAAATATGGTTGTAAATATATTGAAATAAATAGATTGATATTGAAAATGAAAAATCAACGTATGAAGTGGGCGAAACACGTGTCCGCTGAAATAAAATTATTTGTGGTAATTAGGGGTGAGTATTCCTTTTAATTTTTAATTAATATTTACCACAGTCTCCTCTTTCTAATTAGATTGATATTGATTTTACATCAATAAAATTATTTGCAATCCTATTTTGGCTTTCATCTTTCACTGTAAACAAACTATTTGGTATCAGTGTCTTTTTTCCAAATAAAATGGGTGACAAAGTAAATAAGGAAGCTATAGGAGAATTATTTGTTACTGAACTGAACAAAATATTACATAAAGATAGAAAAACTATATCTCAATCACTTCAAGCAGAAAAATATGAATCATACTCAATCTAAGTTTTTCTTAAAAAATACTTTTTATTAAAAAACAGTATTTTGAAAATGCGTATTTTGCATTTAGCATTTAAAATACAAAAAGGAAATCTATTTTGTTTATTACATTTGAAATAACAAATCAAAAAAATATTTGCAACGTATACTTAAATACTTTTAAAAAACTATTTTGCACATCTCTAGTCACAGCAATATTTGTAGAGTTTATTTATTATTAAAACTTTTCCGAGACATCATAAAGCATTTTTTCATGTCTTACTTAGGGTTCAATGGATAGGCATAATCTAAAAACTGGTTGGACACGCACCTCTACTCCTTCCTATCATGAGCGAATCTTCGAATTTTCATAAAACTGGAGCATCCCATCCCCCAAACTGTTTGAAAACAGACTCCTTCTGCCCCTCTTTACTCCTGTTTCTGCTTTTAATATGTCTCTAATTAGCCTTTTATGCCTCAAGTGCCCTTTAATCCTCTCCTTTTCCTTCTTCTCTTCCATACCGCCCTCTTATCATTTACTTTTTTCAATATCGTCTCATTTTCAAACTTTTCTTATTTTATACAAATATTAATAGTTTCAAAAGAGAACTAGATCACTACATAGTATAAAACAAAGTCGCTTTCCCGCTGTCTGTCCCTATGTATGCTTAAATCTTTAAAACTACGCAACGGATTTTGATGCGGTTTTTTTTAAAAGATAGAGTGATTCAAGAGGAAGGTTTATATGTATAATACATGCATAATATAGTAGGGAAACACTGATAATTTTAGAGGTTTCTAATGTGATGTCGTAAATAAACACATTTTTTGCGCTTACATTGCAAACGCTGGCTGAACCCTACGAGATAGATCAAAATAATGTACTACAATATTGTACATCTTAAAAGGGTCTACAAAAAAGTCCGGGATGGTATATGTCTATCTCTTAGGGATAACCCACAATAACCATTTTTATCCTTTACTTTTTATGAGAAATAATGACTTATTTACGAAGCGATTGTAGGCAATACAGCATTAATTCTTATCCAATTAAGTACCTTAAATACATTGTGCATTTAATATAGATCAATATGGCCCTTTACAGCATGTAATTTAAATGAATATTTTCGAAGATATTACAGATTTAAAATGCAGGGACATAGCGGTTGCGGCGGTACCGGCCGGGAGGCCGGTTTGTATTGTCTAATGACAAAAAAACTGTGAATGTTGTATATAAAGACATTCTGTAGTATATTTAGTATGTTCAGGGGGTATCTCTTGAAGATTTCCCCTTTTCGATAATAATCTAAACAAAACAAAAATATATTTAGTATCAGCATTGCACCCGTGCGAAGCTGGGGCGGGTCACTAGTACTCTATATGATAAAGATACAGCTGCATCTACGTTTCCGTACGATTATTTTTTCGTCATACAAAAATAAAAAACAAAGAAAAATTCGTTTCAAGAAAACGTTTATTAAAAAAAGTAATTCTTTTAAACATATAAAAATACAATTGTTAAACTCAAAGGTAACATACACTTAATTTTATAACAATAATGACACTTGTTTTATTTTACAATCTACGTATCACAAATCACAATATTAAATATTTAAAAAAAAAATGATGTCTTTATTTATTCGAAAAGTTCAGGATAAACTTTACACCCGGTATAAGAATCATTTTGAATACAAAATTTGATCACTTCTCTCCAATAATAATCAGTAGCAACAGTGTAGGGGTTCCCAATTACAATAATCAATGCTTGAGCTCTTGTTAATGCCACATTCATTCTTTTTGGATTAGAAAGGAAACCAATACCGTACTTTAAATCGTTAGAAACGAGATTTTCATTGGAACGCACCAAAGACAAAATTATAATGGGGAATTCTCGTCCTTGAAATTCCTCCACACTTCCTATTTTAGGCCGCTCAAATTCTGCATCATCTAAAAGTGAACGAATCTGCCTGACCTGCAAAAAGGAATAAATACGGTTTTTATGGAGAATTTCTTTTATTAGTGATATATTCCTGCATTACGGTAAATATTTGATAGTGTGAACTGCTCATATTAATTATGCTAGGCCACCGTATACTGTGAACAAACTAAACCTTAGCTTATAGAAGCAGATGTCCAATGACCTTAAAAATCGATATTACGCTGTTGCTGTTACACCATTATTGTAAATCCCCGATGCATCTAGTCCTTCCTCAGTAGTATTAGCTGGACAGATATTGTTTTATTCGTATATTCATTTTAGATAGATAGACTGTAGATACTTTAAATTTAGCAACCCAATAGACAGCGACGTCAACTTTACTGACTGAGTTAGAGAAAGACATCATGCAAAAAATAAAAAATCGTCAGGAACAAGTAATAATTTTGATTTAATGTACAAAAAATATTTCATTAATATTTTATGTATTTGTTCTTATCATTTAATGGTTACGTATTCGTGTTTTATGTGACCATATTAAATTTGTTAATAATAGATATTATCACATATGAAATATGATATTCGTTAACGTGAACAAATCGATAATGTAAGCAGCTGTTGTTTATTTTGGTTCACACTATCGAGTATCTACTGTAATTAATAATCTTATCCACACAGTTTCCATTTTCGTATGAATAAAAAATACTTTTTTGGGTATTTATTCACCTGTTTAATGTAAGGAGTAATAATTCCTATATTGTCTGCAGAAATTCCCAATCTGTATAATTCGTTGATGTAATAGAATATTTGACTAGCTTCATTCGGATTAAACCAAGACGGTGAATCTGCAGTTTGATAATTTTCACCAAGAACCCCATGAAATATAAAACACGGAGGAACATCCGATTGTCTTTCTGGTAAAATTTCTTTTATTTTATTCAGCAACTGAGCTTCTTCACTATCTTTACTCAATATCTGGAAATATTAATTAATTAATCAAAGTAACAATATCTTTACTTATACTTACCGTAGATTTCAGTTCATCATTATAAAACAGACGATTCGAAAGTTTTAATAAGTCAGGCAAAGATCGATAATTGTAAATTAGTTTCGTGACCAATCGAGGGTCGTATCCGTTTGAATCGGGGAATCCCGTTATATCTCTCGAATAGGGAAAACGATTTATTAGTCTTTCCAAATATGATTCACCCAATCCGTGTGATTGGGCGATATTTGATAATATTACTGGTCCTAATTGCATGTGATCCCCTAAAAATACAGTAAAACAAACGTGAACTAAACATAATTGACCATACTTTGTAAAATACAAAAACTCAAGACTTTAAAATACTATTATTCTTTGTGGTGCCTATTAAAAGTTATTAAAATGTAAATTATACCTAAATACAAAGAAACATACCAGCAAGAATCGCTTGTCCACTATGTATATCCAGAAAAGCTAAAGGAATCATTATATCAGGTTCTGAAGCTTGTCCTGCTTCGTCAACTATAATGTGAGTAAAGTGGCCTTTAGAAAATCCAGAAGAAAAAAGGCTACCCAGCGTAGAACATGTTCCTACTGTAACTCGATGCCTTCCAATCACAGCAGAATTACAACCTTTATAAAAATAATAAGCAACTATTCATAAAAACAAAACCAATTACTATTACACTTTGATATGTTAAACCTATAAAATTATTAAAATAGAATCATGCTGCCTCTACACAAATATAGAAACAATCTTCATATTTTTTAACTCACTTAATTCTTACCTAGAACAATCCCATCATCCCTCATATTTATTGAGCATTCCCTTGATCCTTCTTTGGAATAATCAATTGTTGCGCTATAAGGGACTAGTTTAGGAGGCACAGAATTCTCCAAAACATACTTAAAAGCCACAAGTCTTACTAAATCACCCGGTTTCAAAACTCCAGAATCAACCAGTCTTGTTGCCAGCAAGTCTGCAGCACTATTGGATGGAGCTGCCACCAATAATCTGGAGTGAGGTATCATACGCAAAATTTGTAGAATAATCTCAATCAAAGTTACGGTTTTGCCGGTGCCCGGAGGCCCAAAAATAACGTAAGGGAGTGGTCGCGCTGTTCCCACCAAAACATTTCGAACAGCTTCCTTCTGATAATAATTTAAACTTTTATCATACCATTCAAGTTTAAAACGCCGATTGTTGGTAGAAATTGGAGTTTTTGTTGTACTGTAGTTATTATTTCTCCATTTTTTATTTTCATTATGAAAATTGTCTTCAGTATTAATATTAAGGAGGAGTTTAGACCCTTGATTCGGAATAGTGTTTTCGTCCTCCTTATTGTCTTTTTTTCTTTCTAAAGAACCACAGTTTGTGGCATCAGATAAACTTCTATTTTTTAATTTCTTATGAGTTGTATGAAGTATATTATAGTATTCATCATAGGTAAAATTCAGCTGCGGCGCCTTCTCAACTACTTTTGTAGGTAATAAGATTGTAGATCCCAAATTTCTCACGACCAAACCAACTGCTTGATGCAGACGTCTAAAAGTTGTCCGTGAACTCACAACTTTAACAGAATAATCTTCTCCTCCATAGGAGTCATGAAACATTGGGGCAAATTTTATGTATATATGTTTGGCTCCAACTTTGTGCACATACCCTTCATATGAAACAGCATCATTTTTATAAGAATCCTTTGCTATAATCCTGTCTCCAACAATAATTGAAGGCCTTCGTTCAGACAAATTTTCAATTTCTAGCATCAAGTATTCCCCATTTCTAATAAAACATGCTGCATCTTGGTCGTAAGTTCTAATTGCAATCAAATTATATATCTCCTCCAAATGTAACAAAGTGTGAAATTTATCTTCATATATACTTAAAGTCAGGGAAGCAGTAAGACAAGGTTTAGTTGAAGTTAATTCTTGACTAAGTTGTGGGTTGTCATTGAATGAATTATGCTTTAAAATTATGTTGAATAGTTTCTCAGGTACAGGATACTCTGGTAATCTTGCAGAAATAAATCTAGGAGTTTGGACAACTTTTTGTCCAGGAATTAAATCCTTAGATTTCCTGTTAGTAAACATTCTAGCTTGTAATAGCAAATTGTTGCCATGAACATGCTTAGCTTTGTCATATGGTTGTTTGTTAGTTTCATAATTTATTGTAACTTGGCGGCCAATTTTAAACTTTTCAAAGTCAAATAATATCAAATTTGATGCTGTACATACAACAAAACATTCACATTCTATTTTTAAACTCTGACCAGCGCTAATTTCTAAACCTTTTTCATTAAATGTTGTACTTATCTTAAATGGACTACTTTTATTGGAAAAATATGCATTTAACAATATCAGTAAATCTTTTGTGTTATTTGTAATTTCAAAAACAAAGTTATATGTTTTGTTATTCTCAGAAACATTCAAATAAATATCATCAGAAATATTAACACCCTCCACGTCAGTTTCATATTCAGAATCACATAATTTATAAAAAAAATCATTTACATGTTGCTTATTAGTTTGAGGAATTATCTTCAATGACCTCCAAATATACATACCCTGTTCACTTTCTATTGCTTCTGTGATCACTTTATCGTTAACTAAAGGTGTATAACCGCCAACTAAACTCTCACTATTAAAAAAGATCTTATTGTCAATTACACCCATTCCTTTATTTTGATCCCACTTTTTAATAACTCCTTGAAGAACTCTTGGTCGCAATGGTCTTATTGCTTCCACTTCCAATATTTTCCCAAACAAATCAGCCACTTGCCATTCCACTTCCACTTTCACTTGCAGATCTATCCAGTCACCAACAATAGGAACAAACTCAGAATGTACTTTATTTAAATTTATTATAAAATCGCCAGGTGATATGTGGATCTTTCTATTTTCTCGTTTTACTACTTTCGTAATTAGTGACCTAGTACACCAAGATCGATTTTCCTCATCTACTTCCAAGTTCCAATCGTCATCCAAAACTTTTACATGGGACACATGTGTCTTGCCTTCTGCAAAATATGCTACAAAAGATACTTTCATTCCAACTTTTAGATTTATCACATCACACTCAAATCGGTAGGTATTATCGATAATAAATGTATTCTTTTTGGCAGAAGTCACTACACCAGTTTTGTGATACGTTGAATATTCTTGCTCTGTTTCTTCGCATATATCATCTTCCTTTTTTACGTCGTTTTCACATGATTTCTCCAAAAGTTTATATGCGTTATCCACAGAAAATTCTGAAGAATTATCTTTCCAAAAATAAGATAATACTGTTCTAAACATTCTTAACAATTTCTAATGTTTATTTATCGTTATGTATGAACGTCAGAAAAGTAGGGTTAGATTAATTTCAAACTTTGTGATCTATGGTCATAGATAATAGATCATTCAATGTAATAGATACACAAAGGGTCTATGGTGATAGTTAATGGCAGTGTCTCCCGTACAATTCGACTGCGTTAGTTTTTCGTTCAAAATTTCACTGTATTAATTTAAGTATTTTTTATCTATGAACATTATTTGTTTTAATTTTGCATTCGAATCGTTGAAACTACCGTATTTTAATAAACACAAGGCGAAAAACAAATTTTTAATTTCAAACAATAATTACAAATATGTTTTAGAATTTTCTGACTGAGAACTACATATTTTATACGAGAACATAAAACAATTTAAAATATTACCTAAATACAGAACCTTATTAACTCCAAATAAATACCCTAAGAAAATATATACTTACAAAAAATTAAATACATAATTGGATATTAGATGTAATTTCCATCCTCTTATTTAATAATTTAATAGACTCTAGGTGTGCACAGCTGAAAACTAAAATGACAATATAATGCAGTGCAAATCCATAATTTTAACCATCAGAAAAAACCTTCATAAATTCACATTGAAATATTCTCTGAAACTTTTTTGCCTTTGCACCATAATTGATCAGACGGTTAAGAAAAATAAAATACATTTTAGATTATTTAATGTATTAAATTTAATAAATAAACACATTATACATACCTTCAACAGTGTGCCTTATATAAAAAACATTATTTAATACAGAGTACATTTTACTGGACATAAATACATTCTAAAAAGCTCTTAGATTATTAATCATTTCATAGTTCATGAGTGCATGCGACTTCTAACTATTAAAATGAATAGAAAGTATAAACATTGATAATACATATGTGCACTGAATGCAACAGCTTGAAAAAAATTAATCTTTTATAAAAAAATTAATCTTCATAACCACGACTTCAGTTCATCGTAATAACGTACATATTTCAGAATAAAATGCGTTACAAAACTGACCCCTTCCAATAACATTATGCTAATTAACTCGATGCGTAGGACTTGTTTTTTCGGCAACTAAGGCAACTAATCAAATCATACAGCAACCAATTTATCCCAATAACCTCGGGTATGGTGGCCCCCACTTATTTTAACTTTTTAGTTAATCATTTTCCCTTATACATTATTTTTCTTTTCACTCGACCCGAACCGACCCTCCGAGGAGGCGGTCCAATTAGTGCATACACCAACAGCTTTTACAACCGATCCACAACTGCATCCAATCAGTATTTTACATATTACTATAATAGTCACCGCTGAAAATCATTTCAGGGAGCTGCTAGTTTAACATGCTTTTTAGAATAATTACTCTACAAAAAAAAATCTTAGAACAATAATGTTATATTCCTGAAGAAAAATAACATAACATCAGTCAAGTTATTTGCAAATCAAAGTAACTCCAAATAAATAACATTTACATTGCAATTATAATTAACTTCAATTTTTGAATAATGTCGTTAATCACTGAAAAACTGTGTGTGTGATAAAATAAAGTAAAATAAGTGGAATACTGAATATTACTACCATTAAAAAACTAAACTTATTTTTAATACAGTTATATTATACAATGTAACTCTTCACACAATAAAAAATAAAAGAAGGTACATAGACAACATATTGAAAATCTGCATTTCCTTCCAAACAAAAAAAAAATAGATATTCCTATAAATATTTTCCAAAATCCTAAAGGTAACATTGATGAAATAAAAAGTAACAATTATTAAGAGTATATACACATAAGTGACATCCTCTCAAAGAAACCTCCACATTCTCACTAAACCAAGCCTACTTACAACTTTAACTATTACATGATCTTTATTGATCAATAAAAACCAGAAATAACATATACATTATACAAAACTAACGTGTGACAAAGACTCAACTGAGAAGAATTTTTCACAAGAAATGGCAAAGCCACAATACATCATTTTGAATTGTTGACATTTTTATTTACTGTATTGTAGTTTTTGCATTTATAGTAGCCAATTAGAACTGTGTGTATTATTTCTTTATTGTGTATATGTTGGTGTGGTAAACTGCAAAGTGGACATAGGGGCGTTGCCATTTCTGAACTTACTCCTAATCTCTTGATGCCCCTATAATAGTCAAAATGTACATGAAAATATTGATAACATCGACGTACAAGTTGAGTGCTGCAAATACATATTCTTCTGGTGAGATTGAATACTTGTGTTTCCCTCCCATCATCAGCTGGGTATCATAAAGAAGATACAAAGAGAACAGCAATGCTCCAATAGACGCGTAAACCAGCGTGACAATTTTGCTCTTAACGAAAATAGCAATTATTCCAAATACAAAAAGAACTATGACAGCTACCAATAAAAAGCCACCCATCATGGTAAAGTCCCATTTGGTCTGGAATGCAAACAGAGTGAGTCCCAGACAAACAGCCGCCGTTATACCAACGGCCATAAGGACTTCTTGGGCTTCATATGAGGCTGCACTGCAAGCCAACATAAAACTCTCTGCCAATGTGAACAGGAACAGTAATACGAAATTCATGGGAGCTTTTCTGCGAACTTCTCCACAACATGCCAACGCTATCATCGAAACGAATAGTATTACCAAGGAAATAATAAACAATTCTGGATGATTGTACACCCACAATTTTGTGGGTTTATGGAACAAAAACCACGCTATAAAAGCCATCGTGATACTCAGCTGTACCATGAGAATGGAATACACTTTCCTAATAAACCCCTTTCTAACTGTCTGATCCGAAAAATCGAAGCCCTTGACTTCGGGATCTTCATAGCCCGCTCCACCATACATTTCTAAAACGTAAAACAAATTTTCATTATATAAAGTAAAATTGTTGCGATTACTTTTAGAGCAAACTAAGTTTTATTAAAATTTAAGTTGTTTTTTATGTATTCATTAATGCAAAGAATCGTTACACATCACTATGACTAAAAGATAAAACACACACGTGGTTAAAGATAAGATAAACGAAGGCACAATTAGAGCTTGAGGAGCTTTAAACGTTTTAAAAGGAAACATCGAAGTATAGACAAGCCATAAGTACAAATTTTTTTGGCAATTTTATTACTAAGTCTGACCGAAAGAAATTTTAAAACACCCCAATTTTCAAATTAGAGCACAATTAAATTAGCTACCTAAACTGTTTTAATATAAATTACAAAATACAAAGGCAAGCATATTCACTTAACAGGGAATTAAAGATACTTATACAGACAATAAGGTTTTTTCTTAATTATACCAACGAAAATTTAAACTTTGTTAAGGGCAAACAATTTAGAATAAGGGATATTAACTTAAGTTTTCGCTAAAGACTTCATATTCTACAACAGAACACTTTAATTATTATAGGAAAAAACATCAAATAAATTAATTACCTTCCAACTTCAAAATGATTTTATAATGAAATAAAATAATCAATGTCAAATTGAATATCATCAAAATGTCAATATTTTCTTAGCATTTTTAATTATACTGTTTTATTTTTTGATAATATTAAAAATAGTATCACATAAGAGAAAGGACCTAGAGAATCTCAAAGGCCATCTAAAACACTTTCACCTAAATTAACTTTTATAAATTCAGTTTTATTTTTCTTTTTAATTGTATTCCCTTCCTTCCCTGTTTAGCGAATCTTCTAAAAGTAAGTTATGTTGGTGTAACGTTATCTTCGTCAAATTTAATAATTAATTGGCGTAGTAGTTTAATAGTTTCATAATATTAATAATCTTACAAAAATAAATAAATTAAAAAGCAGAAAACTTTGAAACTTTTATAGCCTTTGGTCAAAACAAGAACAAAGATAAAAGAATGCATTATATATGTTTTTCTTAACTGTCTGCTATCTTTAACACAGAACAGTAAGTTTTTTGTCAGAAACCTATTATAACACTATTTTATCATATTATATAGCAGTCTATTAGAGAATGCACCAATACATTAAATTAATCAGTTCACACTAAATCTCTATCCAAAAGCATATTATTAAAATAAATATCTACAAAGCACAAACCAAATGCTAACAGGCAGTCACCCCAAAGCCAATTACCGAAATACTAATTTATACGATAAAACATCACGTGAAGAATTTGCATGTTAAGCACTTGTTTGTATTCTAATCTTCACTCAGGGTTGCAAATTATCAAAAAACGAGTCATGTTAGAGTTTATAAACACATTCACAACTAATTTAGATTATGTGTATGAATTATTTTTAATCTCAAAAACCAAATTTCAATGTTATATCAAGCGATAAATTAATGTTTTCATACCGTCCGAAAATTTTCAAATATATATCTCTTTTGTTCAAAGAAAATAATAAAATTTCCATCACACTGCAAAATGAAACTGTAACTTTTTAAATGTAAATGTGCAATACATATTAAACATATCCATTCAACAAAAAAAAAAAACAAAAATATACCACCCAAGAGGATAAAAGAATGAGAAAAACTGAATCTAATATATAAGATTTTTTACTTTTTCGTTTTAACCATTTCTGTTATTTTGTTAAATTTCCATTTTAGTTCGCCAAACAAACAAACTTAAGCATGGTACAAATATAGGTAATTTCCCATTACCATCGTCATTTAACAAACTCAAAAATAAAGAACCTTACAAGACATTGACCACGATAACCTTGCATATATATCAAAGCAATGGTATACTGTCCCATGTTGTTCTACAAGGATTAGAGCACTCTGCAGATAATTCTGGAAAGCTTCAAAAGTAGTAAAAAATCTACAAAACGCTTTTTTAATTATTATTTTTAACAACCTCGCTGTCAAATCGTTAAATAGAACTCAAACGAACCATTTGTATTTGAGAAGGGTATGTTTTCACCTTGCTGATTATGGCTGTATGGGTCGCCGGGTCCAACATTAGAATAATTAAATCCGGGCTGTGGTCCCTGCGGGTAACCGGCTGGAGGTGGGGCATTTGGATATCCCGGTTGTGGAGGATATCCTGGTTGTGGAGGATAACCAGACGGGGGAGGATAAGCTCCTTGTCCGGGGTACGGTTGATTAGGATAGGGAGGCTGATTTCCATAACCTTGGACATTACATTTAATTTAAAAATCATTAATCCAAAAATATTTCGAACGAAATGTACTCATGACTGATTTTGTGCAAAATATTGATTATGATTATTATAAAATACCAAATGTAAAATGAATAATGTGCTTTCTGATTATGAATAGATACCTTGAGGGTACGGCCCGCTATTCCACGTTGTCATCTTTTTTCAATTATCTGCCAGAAGAGAAAAGAAAATGTAATCAATTTCGGTTTTTACTTTTAAAACTCTACAACTAAGTATCAATTTAATGGAAAAGCATAATTATGATATCGTTGCGCCGATAATAATAAAAGAATATTATTGATATATTGATATTGGTTTACTGACATTCCATTTCCTTTTCTTATCAATCCTGATATTCAAGAGAGGAAATATTGCAGTGCATTCAAAGTTTATATCAAACACTATATATGTAGGCTACTGTTAAAACTTAAATATGAGAAATCAATGCATTGGATTGATTAGTTGTTGGTTCCTCGGGAAACATAATATTCTTATCAAATACCTACATTTTCCTTAATTAAATGATTAAAGTACTTTTTCATTTTCCAACTTTTGATAATTAATGCTTATTAATAAAATTTGAGAATAAGCACCTGTAACTGTAACTAACAATTTGTGTTTTTCGATTATCTACCTACAAAAATAAATAAAAATTACATAATAGATTCCACAATACAAAGTCGATTTACACGAACATAACTTACTTTGCTTTTTCTGGAAAATTCTAAGAAAATTTTCAATTATCTTGTCAGTGTTTTGATTAAGATCCTTTAGGCCTAACTACTATGTAACATTAATTATTAGTAGAAGTACCTATTCTAATCGTTAAAACTACAAAATTATAGTCTTTTTGAGAAATATTGTGAAATTGTTATAATTCTGTATAATATGTACCTCTGTTAACAAGATTCAACATTTTACTTAATTATAATATAATAATATAATATAATTTTTTACTTGCAGCTTCAAAGAAAACCGTTATTTGTAAAGTCGCTGCTAGTTTTTTGTCAATTAACATTGAACTATGATTATAAAGTAAATCAATATTTCCACTTGCTATTATTTTGTAATATTATTAAAAGCATTTCACACATTAAAACTGCGCGTATTGTTCTACTCTCGCAACAAAACGAATATACTTAATTTAATAAGTTTACTGTCATTGCAATTTCTTATGAAACATTTTTTAAATAAGATTAAATAAAGAAAAATGCTTTACAATATTTGAAAAAATTAGTCATTATTTTAGTTTAATAACGCATGAATGCTTTCTACATTTCTACCACAAACTGCTCAGCAAAACATAAATAAACATGATACATTTTACATGTAAACATTACATCAGGTGCTGTTTCTTATAATAGCTTACAAATACAAGTTAACTATTCATTAAAAATTCTACCTGTATTTAGATGATCTCGAAATAAAGATTTCAGGCGAATATTGAACAACTTTCTTACACCAGTACTATTAATTTATCAACAAAACACCAACTTATGACCGATTTTAGCACTTTTTCTTCGCCGACTAGAATAAAAACTAAGTCACGAAACGCTCTGGAATCTGGAAATTTCCTTTCCGGTCGTTTACTATCGTATGATGACTAATGTATCCACAGATAAAGTCATAGGATAGAGTAAAATTAAAAAATTGTGGAAAACCATAGAAGAACCATAAACATCAAATAATAGGTAATAGTTCAAGTAAACTGAATCGATTAAGATGAAAACTCGTTAATAAAATTATAATTGAAGAATGAACTGTAACAGTCTTTTTATTATTAATTTATATAAATTAACTTCTACATTTATATGCACTAATTATTACGAATTATAACATTCAGCAAGCATAACTTAGTTTTAACTGAATATACAAATAAAAAGTGATTGCGACTTAATTTTAGTAACATTTAACTTTATAATGTAATTTACTCTAGTTATTTTCATCAGTGTTTTTTCAATGTGGTAGTAACTGTTGAATGTATGAAATAATTTGTTCGTCAAGCGAACGTCAAAATTATAAATTACGTTTAATTAAAAATGGCAAAAAAGACCTATGATTTACTTTTTAAATTGCTGTTAATAGGAGATTCTGGTGTTGGTAAAACTTGCATATTGTTCAGATTTTCTGACGATGCATTTACGACTACCTTTATTTCAACTATTGGTACGTAAATTTTTTGTTTAAATTTTTAATTATAACATATTCATGCCTTTTTCATGTTTAATAATCATTGCAGTTTTATTTATTGAATATTTTCCCAAAAATGTTCAATTCTTAAAATCCTTTGCAATTTCATTGTTATCACGTTATTTATAAATACAGGGTGAGGTCAGGCACCATTTAATTGTTTTTTATTTTAGGCATAGATTTTAAAATAAAGACCGTTGAATTAAGAGGAAAGAAAATAAAGTTACAAATATGGGATACTGCAGGACAAGAAAGATTCCACACTATCACTACATCTTATTACAGAGGTGCCATGGGAATTATGCTGGTTTATGATATAACAAATGAAAAAAGTTTTGAAAATATAATAAAATGGCTAAGAAACATAGATGAGGTAAGTACAAAATTAAATATAATCAGTGAGTTACATATTCCTTAATCTGTATTTTATTAGCATGCTAATGAAGATGTTGAGAAAATGATATTAGGGAATAAATGTGATATGGAAGACAAAAGAGCTGTTAGTAAGGAAAGGGGAGAAGCTGTAAGTCTTACAAATCTTGTGTTTATAATTCTAGTAATTTACTTATTACAAAACATATATTAGTAATTATAAAAAGCATACATTAGCAGTTGATTATTATTATTTAGTATACAGATATTTAATATGGGTGATCTTTTTAATATAAATTAGGTGGCCAGAGAACATGGGATAAGATTTATGGAAACATCAGCCAAGGCAAGTATAAATATAGATCGAGCATTTAATGAGTTAGCAGAAGCAATATTAGATAAAACAGCAGGAAGAGAACCTGGTGATCATGTCGACAGAGTTACTGTAGATAGAAGACAACAGTCAAGCACCACAGGCTCGTGCTGCAATAAATAAGCCATAATTTAAGTCCTAAACGTTTTACTCAATGATATTCAATTTTTGTGAATTTTATTGTAGAATATGAAATTGAGTATATTTTGTAGGATTGTGTTGATTATGCAGTTACTTAATCTCTCTTTTTCCTTATTTTTCTTCAACTCATTTTGGATTAAGGAACGAGATTAATAGTTTGTTTATATATATTTTTGTAATTTAGTTTTCGTACAGGAAGATTTTTTTCTCCTTGAACATCGTAACCTTTGTAATACGTATTAATTTATTAAGAGAATGAAAAGATAACAGGAATATTGTTTTGTTCATATAAGGAAGCACAATAAGAACTCGTAGGGAAATATGTTATTTGCTTAATAGATGTCTGCTTTAAGGTTGTAAAGAATGTATATATTAATTATGGGGAATGTTCAATATAAAATGGATGTTGAATGAAGGAGCTTTGTAATAGTAAATTCTCATGACTAGTCATACACAGGTTTGAAGGTTGTATTTTTTTTTTTTCTATTTATCAACTGTGTTACTGATCTCAGAATCTGAATTTTATAACTTAAACATGAATGACCAAAACACCAAAATAAATTTTTGGTTTAAATTCACATAATTAATGTACTGTATAATCATGAAAAAATGCTCTTAACTTTATTTTTGATATACGAAGTGTTTCGTTAGTCGTAGTAAATTAAAATTTTCAAAATTATGTACTTCACTTTTTTGCAGTCATACTTTATAATATGCAAATCAAATATTAAAATTTAAATTAGATACTCATCTACATTTTTTATTTATGTGTAATCATTTTTTTTTAACTTATCAAGAAAAATTGTACACCTTAATATAAACTTTTGCAACTTCAAACTTGTTAAAACAAAAAATGACTTTGTATTCATAAATTGCCTTCTTGTCGCTACCATTACATTGTACACATTGGCAAAGATCTGCAATATTTATAAATTGTAATAGTAATTTCCAATATTTTTTCTATACCTACTTGAAAAGGTATGTAAAATGTTTTTAAATAATATGCATTGGAGGATAAATTTATTTTGTGTAAAACGTTTTTTTCTCAATTGGTTGGAATATTGAGCTAAAATATGTTTTCAAATACTTAATTTGCCATTATTATAAGTTTAAGCTTTCATTGTAATTTACTATAAATGAGTGTTAATATACCAATTGCTTTGTTATTTTTGTAGTCTGTGTATTATTATTCTTTTTTCTAATGCGTCTAACTAAAAGAGGTAAATTTTCGATATCTACGAAGTCAAGATGGGAAAATAGCGCAGGATCGACTCAGTTTAAACAAAAACGTGAGTTTCGTCTTCGGAATACGACTTTCGTTTGAGATGATGAAAATTTCTCTTTTAGCTGATTATCTTTTACATCATTATTTTGTATCTCTACCACATTTTCAACATATCGTCGGATACTACATTACGCAATATTTTTCTATCGACTATTACTTTTGGGCGATCCTCTGCTAACATTTCAAATGTATAAAAAGTTTCATAAGAGGATCAAATGTAATTTTTAGTTTAATACTTTATGGTTCTTTACCAAGATAACGTTATTTTTTTATAAGGACTTTTTTAAGTATATGAAATACAAATTATGTACTACAGTTAGCAGTAGATGGCGGTATACTGCCTGTAACTTATATTAACTTTAATTTTTCCTTTTAATTCTTATTGGTTTAACAATTTCAAATGGAAAAAAGAGTTGATTGGAAAATGTTTGATCAACTTTTGTCTCCATTTCTGTAAAAGCATTTCAGCATAGATACTTCAGGCTGCAAAAAGAGGCAGAGACTTTTATATCCAATGTACACCGCATCCCGAATATGTTGTTAATTAAATAATTAATAAATCAATCCAAGCATTTCAGTTTAAAATAATAATTGTAAGATTTTAAAAATATTCCAAAGGTGGTATCTGCTGTATTAATGTCTTTTCGTCAATTTTACTCACTATGTTACTAAAGTCCATTTCATTTTGTTTACCAGTGATTTCTAAGTATTCATGCCTATAAAAATAATTCTTTACATACAGTAATACTTAATAGACATGCCATATTTTTCTTTTAATGACATTTTTATGGAAGATTACCTTTTCGTATTGTCGTTAATTTTTTTCGGTTTGTTTTTTTGCCTAGTTTCTTTCCATTCCTTGTAATTCATTCGAGGCATCGTTATCACCAAATGTCCTGTCGTTTGAGATCTTTGTGCAACACTTTTATCTGTATATATTTCCTCCGGTAAAACGAACTGGAACACTTTTTTCTTAATAGTAACTTTAACAACGATCGGCTGTAAATCTACGTCTATTAAACTTGTATCGAGATATCTACAGAAAAAAGAATAAAAAATTATTAAAAAATATTAATTTGAAATATATTTTGTATAAAAAAATCGAGTCAATGTACAGGTCCGCCACTCGCAAATCGGAATGCTCATTCTAAACTACATATACCGCTATGTTACATTCGAAATAACCCCCTGTATATTAATTTAAACATTGAAAATTCGAAAAAGGGCTCACTTGTAAATGGCAATATCTAAAACGTATTGTTTAGGATCCTCGTCGCAAAATTTAAACTTCAGTTTAGCTTGATTAATATTTAACGGTCTCCCCTCCTTATTATATAAGCGAACACAAGGTTTTTTAACTTTATCCTTTTCTTCGTCGGTGTTACGTGATTTTCTTGATCTCATTGCCATTTCAACCCTTATTTCTGGAGCATGTTCGGATTTCGTAGCCCAGAACTCCTCATCAGTCAAATCATCATGTCCTTTACATAATCTTTCTTTCTGTTCTTTTCGAAATAGTTCATATTCCTTTTGAGCTTTTCTTATTTTAGGTGTTATGTTTTCAAAATCCTGTTGCGCCTTAAAAAAAAAGTAGTTAACAAAAAGCGTGAATAAGGATAAAACTTTTCCGGGGGTTAATTTACCTTGATTCTTTCGGAGTGAGTAATTTCCACTCCATCTAAAGTTTGCAGTTGAGGTAAAACTGCAACAACGTAAGTTCTGTAACCTTCATAATTGGTACATGGGTTTCCGGTCAGATATAAATGTCTTAAGTGCAAGTTGTTTTTTAGAGAAGCTACACTTTCTAAATCCCCGATGAAATTCAGTGTCAAGTCTAATTTTTCCAAAAATTCGCATCTCTCTAAATTTTCTATTTTTTCAACATTATTCACCGCTAAATTTAAATATTCCAACTTTTTTAACTTGTTTAAATTTTCTAAAATTAGTTCCAATAAATATTTTCAAAATCTAAAATATACGATACAATACCTATTTTAGAAATGAGATTTGCCTGGAGTAAAAGAATTTGTAAATCCTTACACCAATTGTTCAGATTCTCTATTTTGTCTACATCCTCTTGATGTAGAGATAATTCTTCTAAAGTTCCAATAATGCCTTCATTATGCTCCGATTTTTTTCGTATCAGCTCCTCAGTTACTGAAACAAAGAATACTTATTATTTTAGAAAAACGCCAACACATAATTTTGAAAGTAGATACTTTTTACCATAATTACTTATAACAAATAACGAGAAGCTTATAATTAGATAAGCAATTGCCAAAAAACAGTGTATCGTTGCTATAGCTTTTATTGATTAAACAAGATAGTTTCTGCAAAATCATTAGTTTAATTAAATTAGAACAACTGTAAATATATTTTATTTTAATGAAGATTTCTTAAGTTGAATTCAAGAGTTAAATTATATATATATTTTTTTTTTGAAAATCAATATGGTGGTTATCATTAATAGTAATTTCGATTCAATTTCTCAATAGTGCGATCAGTTTCATGTAATGTTCCTTAAATTGGCTCTATGGTATGGTGCTGAGCTATCTCAATAGTTCGTGAGTGTTGACAAATATTGTTGGTCAGTATTTTGAATTGTGTTCGTTCTAAAAAGAGACTTTTGCAGTTAAATTTTAGGAGTATTTAATTTTTTTTCGCTTGGTTTATTTAATAAGTGATTTAAAATGTCCTGGTTAAATTTAAACGACAGCTTAAGCAGTATTAAAGGGCAATTATCCAGTCTTGCAAGTGGTGTCTTGACAGATAGTGACGTTTCAGGTGAGCTTTCTGTTTAATTTACAAAAATTTCTAACCTCTACATTAAGTAATTAAATAAATAAAATTATTGTTTTTGTCTGTTGCAGAATCCTATCAAGAAGTGCAAGAATTAAATCAAAAATTAGAAGTGCTTTCAAATCTCTGTATGAAAAAAGATGCTGAAGTAAGTATTTGTATTGTCTTAATTTTTTATTTAATCTGATTATTATTTCTTTACTTATTCCTACATTGAAAAGACTTTTAATTTAAATGTATTGAAAAAGTAGAAGTTACATTCTTATTGTTTATACAGGTATTTTCTTAAAAAACATTAGCTTAATGAAATAAATTAAACTATCATTAATATAATAAAATGATTGATAAATATTATTACAATTAAACAAAACTAAGGTCTGTACCAGGATTAATGTTTTTATGGTGTTTCTATTTTGTGCTGTAAAATATAAATTATCCCACTTAATTAATAAATTAGGTAGAGTTAAACTTAATAAAACATGATAAC